CCCGGCTATGGTGGCCTCACGTGCTCCTCAGAAAGACAGGACCCTACAGCCGTCAAGGACGATGAGCGGAGAGAGCGCCGAGAGAGGCTCCATGCACTCAGAAAACAGGACTCGTACCCTTTACCGGATGGACCCTACTCCCGATGGGACAGGGTCTGCCTCAGGCGACTACGCACGGGAACCGCCATGGTACCTAAACGTACTGCAATGTACACTTGGAACAAGCAACGACTGAAAAGGTACAACGAAGAGAACTCAGAACCCGCAGACGACATGGACGAAAGTCTTTGCCGACAATGCAAGGTCGTGGCCTCAGAAAATCACGTTTTCTGGGACTGCATAAACATTTTTGAGAAAAAAGAAGAAATTTTACTGACCATTCCCGCGGATCAAAGACCCAAGAGCTTGGCGGAATGGACCAGACCATCCGGCTCACCAAAGCACCGAAAGGAACTATTCGACTCCCTCCTTCGGTTCATTAAGGAGGCTCACCTGACTCACTTCATTTAATCCCCATCCCCCACCCCAGGACAGCACCGACGGCTTAAGCCCAGCTGACCTGGCCCTGATGTTTCTTTTATTTTATTATGATTAAAGACATTTTCAAACAAAAAGCTGCAGTTTTGGCATAAAAGCTCGCGCTCGCTTGGAGCATGAGGAATGGCGCCGATGGCGGCGTGTCCGTGGGTGGCAAACTTGATTGCACGGGAAGGAAGTTTGGCCCAGCATGCCCCCCCCCCCCCCCCCCCCAACCAACGACTGTCCATACAATAGAGCAAACTAAAACCCGACGTAAAACAACGACAAAACTGCCATCATATGGGAGTAGCCATCGGTTTTCGTAGGCGCAGAGCAAGTCGTCTGATTCTTGCGCAGGAGTTGCGGTGACATCACAACGACGCCGAGCCCTGATTGGCTTTAATTGAAAGGATAGTGGGTAGAATACCTCAATGCTAGATACCTTCAGGTCTACCCACTATTTTTTTTTTAATCAGTCAATAAGAGCTCGGCGTTTTGACATCGTCGCAACCCCCGTGCAGGAAGCAGACGAACTTGTGCTCCGCATAGATACCTTTTTAGTGACATTGGCATATTTCAGGACTGAAAAAGTATAAACGTTTTGTTTGTTCCAAATACATAATGTCTATAGTCTTATTTTTTTGGTATTCAATAACACGATGTGCACGAACAAACTACGCGTGCGCAGGCGCTATATTCGCGCGAAATTAGGCGTCTGCCCATGCGCATTGACGAAAGCAGCGCCATCACTGTGGTGCGACATCAGAGTTGAGTCGGTGTATACGATGTGAGGGTTTTAGATCAAATTCTACGCCAGGCTTCGCTCGATGACGTCGGCTGACGCACGTCGTGTGCGCGCCCTCGTGGTTGGCCCTTCTCTCCCTATAGGCCAGTTTTTCTCGGCCAGTGTTCACTGTAGGGTCCACGAGACGCGACCACAGAGGAGGCGCCTCCGCTAGCGTCCGCGCGACGCGTACCATTTAAAGGAGCTGTGCAACAGTTTCAGTGCTTTGCTTAAATAATTTGAGAGAATGTGTCGCCACCTTTCTGAAGTAGAGAACAAAAAACCCCTTTGCCTGCATGTCCTACTTTTTATTTTTCAAAATGAACAAAGATTCAGGTTTTTGGCGTCTCTCAACTCCTTCACCATCTTCCGAGTCACGTGCCCTGTGACGTCAATGGGGTTGGCGCGGGATTCCGGTGAAGGTCTCTCTCTAGAGCCATCTGTGAGCAGCGAGAACTGATCCGCTCGCGACCGTGTGACCACGTGCTGGCGGGCACAGCGCGAACAATATGGTGAAAGGAGGAAGGCCTCATCCGGGTCCGGCCATACCTGTCCGGTCCTGTCCCCCTCCCGCTCCGGCTTTTGGCGGCTGTTCGCAGGAGCAGATAGAGCTGACGGTTTTGTGAACCTAGAATAGATGGCCCCACTAAAACTCCATCAAATAAAAGTTTTGTCGATGATACCAGGTTTTTGACGCATTGATATTTACGTTGGAATGAGAAGATTTGTGGAAAGGTTACCTTTTTTCGAGCAGGTATTCGCACAACTTGCTATCTTTCTGCAAGACCCCAATTGACGTCACGCTGAGTGTTTTTCACGGCCGCCGCTCGCGGTTGCAGGTCGGGAAATATTCAATTTTCGCCTCGCGATTACGCGGCGGAATCGCAATATTTCGAAGGAAGGAGGTGTGTTTTCTGTCCTGTGTGACAAGGTGAACAATATCAAAAGCAGAAGATTCCAATTCTTTCAACGTTCAAATCGTTGCACAGCTCCTTTAATGCTGACACGAAACTATGGTGCCTGTAGCGCGTCTTCAACTGTTGTGTTTAGCGTCGGATGCTGGCTATACATCAAAAGTGCTCCCGCGAAGTGTCATTCTGTTGCATATCGCGATCCTGGCGGTTGGTCGTAGAAATGCTAACAAGAAGCTCCGACAGGATCGCAACTAGCGAGATCATGACACTTCTATGACGTCATCAGGTGGAAACCGAGGGCCACTTTTTCGGACGCGGTAAACACACCAGTCGAAGACGCGTTCCAGGCGCCATAGTGAAACGGCGTGCTAGTGTCCCATCATGCACGATCCATGTGGGTAAACTATAGCTACTCTCAGTGCCCCTACGAGTCTGCCCGCGGCAAGGACGGTTAAATAGGGCAGGACTCGGCATGACGTCATGCCCAGTGACGTCGGAAGAAGAGCCCAATCCCAGACTGCCTTGGGCTGACGCGCACTTATCCAACATAAATCCAACCAAGCTCCCATCGTCTTTTCGCCGCTCGGTCGGCCGATTGCGTTAGGCTTAAGGCCCATTCACACATATGCGTCCGTAGCGACCGCAACGACTGGAACAACCGAAACGACCGTTGCAAGGGTCTGCAACCCTCAGTTAATTGCCATAGCGACGGAGGGACCCACGCACGTGTCGTTCACGTCGCAAGGAGTTGGAACGAGCCCAACCTTTTCCGCTGCGTTGGAAACAATCGCAACGACAGACCAATCACAAGTCGAGGAGAACTGGTCGCGCGCGTTGCATGCCGGTCGTGCCGGGCATCTTCTATATGCAAACATGGTGTCGGTGGTGATCGCCGACGTGGACGGCGTGGTGAAAGCTCATCGTTCCGTGTAAAAGCGCTATCCTTGACTGAATTTTCGTCGTGTGTCGCTATGATAACCCAGCACGCACTAGAAGGGAAGATCCACCAACTCGTGCGGCGATGTCGTGGCGGCACTTTCAAAACAGCAGAAACGCCCGTGCCGTCATGTTTGTTTACTTCGATTGCAGTGGTGCTTTGTAAGCATTTGTGTCCTCGAACATCGCCCAGATTTTTCATTTAGCGCATTTCATGCGTGTGCTCAAGTTCAAGGTATTACTGGCGTGTACCGTATAAAGGATGCGAATTTTCACGCGTTTTCATCACCGGAGAAAAGTGATTAGTGTTAGCAATACTGAACGCTCGCAACGTCTATCTAATCACAAAATCATATTTCTACGTTGCTATATCGCTGCTAAGATTACATCGCCTATTGTAATCATAGAAAAGGCGTGTGGTGAGATTTGTACTATTAGCAAAGATGCAGTACGCCGTCTTGATTGTCCAAGACGGCGTACTGCACCTTTTTCTTTTCTTTTTTTTATCCACTGTGCCCTCCAAGCCTATCATCGTGACTCAAAAAAAAAATAATATTAATAAATCTTTAGGCTATAGAAAACTGTCTGTCTATATTCTGTTACGACATTAAGTGGCAGTGCGTCCTCTTTTTCGAGGCACCGCTGAAACAACTGACGGCGGCGGTGGTCGCCGTGCTGTCGACCGGCTGCGCTTGTTGCAGTGGTTGCAGTTTGTGCACGCGCGGCACAGAGCCGTCGTTCCGGTCGCTCCAGTTGCAAGGAACGCAGTCATATGCAACCGACGTGTGTGAACGAGCCTTTAGACTACATCTTCTCCGTCCCTGCGGTCTGCGTCGTCTGCTCGCGGTCGCGGCTTGCTTTCGATGCAATCGACGCAACAAAACAAGTTTCTATGCGAACCCGCATTCTGAACACGACGGAGGGGCACCAACACCTTCTGGTCTGGTTGACATCATTCTTTAATAAACGCCTACCTCTCTCTCTCTCTCTCTCTCAACACCTCCTGGAAGCACGGCCTATACGGCTTTCTCAACCCGCTGTGCAATTCTCAGCGTTCATGTGTACGACCACTGACACGCTCGCTTTCCAACGCCCCGCTATGACGATTGGCTCTAGACGACGCTCCCGGCGCGGTGTCGAAAGCGTCCGCCCTTCGCCGACTTCCTACTGGTCTGGGAAGTGTTGGGCTCCGAATCTCGCCTGTCCTGCACCGATTCAGTGGACGCCGCCATGCAAGTATGGGGCAAACAGCCGCGTTGCCACTGCAATATCATGGCAACGCGGATGTTTGCCCCATATTTTCATGGCGTCATCCGTGAACCGAGTTTCCTAATCATAATGAAAATTACTCGAGACTGTGGTACAAGATGCGGAACTTTGTAAAAAAAAGAAACAGGAAATAGATATTCTCAGTAGCTGAGAGAATAAGACATTTCGTGACCACGCCTACTCATGTTACACTTTGCTCCATGTATGAAAAATACGGACGCCACCTCCGACGTATTATAACCTCCTTGGCCCGCGAGCACTAACCGAGCGTTTGAAGGGACGCAATGCGAAGAACAACGGAAACGTGACCTAACAAAATATCTGTGTTTTCCCGGCAGAAACGCTGCTCAAAATTTGAGATCCGCAGGTTTATATCAGTGCTGCCAGACGTGCTGCTAAATGCCAACGCAAAAAAAAAAAAAAAAAAAAAAACTTCAGGAAACGGTTGTTTGGGGACTATGCCTCTATTCTGTGCGCCACTTTTCATCCCACTTTTTGTTTACCAATGATGTAAAGTGTTTACCACTTTACATCATCATCATTCGTCGACTATACGGTACAAAGAAATTTTACGTTACCTTGGTCAGGATCTGACATTTGCATTGACGGCCAGCTGAAACGACTGCTGTTGCAGCCCAAGCAGTAGCAGTTGCCGTAACGCGGCACCAGTCGAAGCTCCAACAACCTGGAAAGACAGCAAGGAAAACAGGGGCTTTCGTACGGTCATACTTTTCAGCCCGTTATACACGGAAAAGACACTCCCTCAAACATAAAAAAAAACTGAATATATTTTTACAAAATTTGTATTTATCTTTGCATGTTCAAATTTCAGTCACCTTAACGGTGCATTCCCACTGGCGTTCGAATCGCAACCGGGAAGCGAATCCGCTACTTTTCATCATCAAACATGCGAAAAATTCTGTTGGATGTTAACAACCGCGTTCGCCACCGCTTTCAGAACGCAGTTTAACCGCCAGTGTAAATACGGCGTTATTGTACTTTACGTCTTATGCAATACACTTGTCCATGTGTTTCTTTCAATGATCAAAACAGCCGTTAATTGCTTTAACCTCGTCGATCTTGATGCATTGCCGTGCTTCTGCCGTTTTTTTTTGTTTTTTTTTTTCACCTCTTTCATCTCAGCAAACATATTTTCTTTTGATAATTGTTTTTATGCTACTAAGCAAAACAAAATGTCACGAGGGGTGAGGTCAGGTAAAAACGAACGATGGCGTACGGGGGGTCACGCCGTTTTCATTCAAAACTTCTGAACTCTCAGCGCGGTGTAGGCAAACACGTTTTTTGGTAAGCGAACCAGTCTCCTGTTTGCCAGAACTAAAGACGTTCTTCCCGCAAATCGTTACTAACCTTCTCTTAAATCCCAGATAAAAACCTTGGTTCATTGTTTGACCAGGAGGAACAAATTCCGAATCCACAATCCTTCTCGTGTCAAAGAAAATATATTTTCATTATCCTTATCACTCTAGTTCACCTGCCGTGCTTTTTTGGGTCGTGGGAAAAGGTACGTTTTCTATTGACTGGATTGCTGTTCCGTTTCGGGGTCGTGGCGGCAGCACGAACACTAATGATCGGTTAAAAGTTCGAAACAAAAATCACGGTCCTCGTTCAACACCTTTTTCAAAGCACGGCACGCAGCCAAGAGATCGCCTTTTTGTTCAGCTGTGATCAAGCGAGACTCGAATTTTGTTAAACCTCGTTTTATGTGTAACTGCTCTGATGAAGTTTGGTGACAGCAGCTCCAAACACTGCAGTGAACTTCACAAGTTCATCAATCGTCTGACGGCGGTTATCAAAAACGGCTTGACGAATTTTGGCCAGTTTCTTCGACTCGGCTAATTAAAGGATGCAAGAAACGAGGTTGATCGTACATAGACACTTCTCCTTCCAAGCAACAATCAAAACAACCAAGTGCAAAAAGAAACTCGACAACTGCATACAAACAAGAGCAAGACAAAAAGGAGAGCGGAGGTGCAATTTTAATGTACTTTAATAAACACTGACCAGGCCAGTTCTGTGACTAAGGTCTCACTAGCTATAATATTTCTTCTAATTAGTACTTACACAAAAAATATTTTTTAGTTGGTACATTTACCTTATTAATTTATTTAAATTGGCGCTAAGTTTTCTGGGATAGCGCAGGCGCAGACTGGGGTAACTTCATCGTTTATTCTTTTTTTTTCTAATTAGCCCAAATCAAGATATGTTCTAAACATGAAAACCCTTCGTAAATTCGTGTCTTATTCAGAGCGGCTTCATTGCAAGCCATCTGTAGTGTAAAAGCCACTTCCGTCATATTTTTTCTCAACAGGAAACAAACCGTCACAGCTGCACGTTGTTCGTATAAATCAGCCATCACGAAATAGGCCAACGCGTATCGTCTCCACAAACAATCAACTGAAGCCGAACGGAGCTCCCACAGGAGCGGAGCCTACCACACTGATGGGTCCCTCGAACACGTACCTATTAAGGGAAACTTCTACTACAAGGAGTCTGCACTCCAGGAATTAATTCCGGCTACTTTTGGGTGCCCCCTGTATATATATGCATGTTTTACAGCAAAGCTGTATACCTCTACCGGCCAAGGAAATTTTCGTGTCGTTGGCGTTGTAAGCAATAAACTCCCGGCGAACAATTGAAGGCAAAACAGGATATCTCTTTTGAAATCAGGCATACGGCATACAGCTCAGTATCCGTTTCGATAAGGAAAACCACAAAGAAAACCACAAAACAAGCATCAAAACCACATGATGGATGATAAGGCGCGTGTTAACAATAGGAACACACTCCCACGCGTTCCGGTAAAGATCAGGCTTGCAGCTGCTTCGAAAGGGGTTGACATTATTTGAAGCCCTCGTGTGAAGTGCAAACCGCATAATGGATGAAACGGCGCCTGCGAACGATGCGAAGCACGTTCCTTCTCCCCGCGTGTGTTTTCGTGTCGGCGTTCTTAGGGAAAAAAAAAAGACTTCAGAAGATTGAAGCGAAAAGTACAAACACCATGCATACAACATCCAGCACAACATTTGTTTCAATAAAGAATAATCACAAAACAAGCATCCTAATCATATAATGAATGATATGGAGCTCCTGAAAACAATGCGAAGCACGTAGCGCTCACCGCATACGTTCCCGTTGAAGATTACTATTGCCCAAGCTGCCAGGCGACGGCAGCTTGCGACGTGGGGACTCACGTCACTACCCATTCATATATAAAAGAAGAATCCGCCTGTACCCGGTTTCACCTTACGTTTGGACGCAGCAGATGCCACGAGCTATCCCAGCCAATCCCGTTCTGCGGACGTGGCCCGTGATACGCTTTCCGCGCGTCGCTGTGCCCCTTCTCTAAGGTCACGTGACACTCACACAGCCTCCGATTGGCTCGTAACATCCGCTGCGCTTGGACGTAAGGTGAAACGGAGTATAGCAACTGATTTCAGTGTTGCTGCAGCACCGCGATGAATAGGCCACGCATAGTTAGGACTCCCGAGGAGCAGCGTGAATACTAAGAGCGGCAAAGGGAAATGAAACGGCAATACGACCAGCGGCGGCGTGCTGCGACCGGCGGCGGCATTACGTATAGTGCATTAGGGAATCGTTGCAGGTAATACCACAGCTTCGCTCACCAACGACCTTCACAGCGTGGATTGGAGCCCAATTTGTTTGTAGTGATTCGAGTCATCCCAGCTGCGGTATACGAACACGCTAAATACGCATATGCTACTTCTAATATTCAAATGGACTACACAGCCATAGATACAGGTCACCGGTTTAGATCACAGACAAGTTGAAACCGATCGTCATATTTCTCCGACGTCAATGTCAGTATTAACATACCACGTGTCTTCTAACTGGCTAGTGACTAAACCTGGTAGACCGCGACTTTAGCGATAAGTGAGTGGAACAATGTAGAGATTATTCGTTTACTTTCCTCGTCAAGTATTGATATTAAACAGAAGTTGTCCCCTTCTATGGCATATTACTGACTACACACTGTCCTAAACATCCAGTTTTTATTTACTTATGACCTACTAGCTCGCGATTCGTATCGTGTTGACACAAGTTTGTTCACGAATATTATACTGTACTTCATGTGTGCAGTTCTTCAAAAGGAACCGACTTTTTGCTTTTGGTTGGCTAGCACACACCAGCTTGGAGCACGAGGAGTGAAAGCTCGCGCTGCAGAACCCAGAGATGCTGGGTTCAATCCCACCCCTATCCGTTTCGATCTGGATGAGCATCGTACCGGCGCGCGGTGGTGTATCACAACGGCGTGGTGCACGTTAAAGAGATACTGAAGCGAAACTTGAAATACAGCTATTACGGTCAGAGATAGGTTCAATATGACCAATGTTATCCGTAAATCATAATCGCGCGTTTGTATTTTGAACGGATGGCTATATTTTTCACCCTGAGGGGCCCGATTGGGCGCGCGCTCAAAAATCAGCCATCGGAGAGCGCGATGCGTCTTGGGATATTGGGCGCATTCGTGATGTCACTTGTGCCAGACGGGAAAGGCTACGGCATGAATTCTGTGGTTACGAGCGTTGCCAGTTGGTGGCGCGTCGACGATTTAGGACCTGTGACAACTTGGCCGTTTGAAATGTGCAAGGGCTGCACGCACGCTGCACCGCGGCAAGTGGCAACCACGGCACCACTGACAAAACCAGCTCTGAGGCCGGATTCTCAAAGCGAACTCACGACGAAAAAAGTGCGTACGACAAATCTGAGAGAAAACCCGTATTCTCGAAACGAAATTGTCGTAACTTTTGCGCAGGTTACGACAGAATCCTACGTCAGCTCCGAAGCTTACGCACTTTTTACGATCAAGTCAGCATGGCCGACAGCGTCGCTCAGTTACTTGGTAGCGACCACCAACGGACATTTATTTTTCTACGCGCTCTTCTCGTGCGTCCCGACTTCAACCAGCAAGAAAAAAGGAAGGAGAACTTGAAACGGACCACGACGATCAAGAACGCAGGATCCACAAACACCCGAGAAGAGCTACAACGGCCACGATTCTACCGACCAAGCGAGCTCGGCAGAATATAGTAGGCCTAGCAGCAACACCGACTCGGCGCACCGTTGCTCCGGCGGTCCTTGGCCAAGACCGTCTGCCCATGACCGGCTGGCCTGCTGAATGGAATATGCCCGCGCGACCCTTGTGGACCCTTCCCGGATAAATGGTTTGATCCCTGAACTAAATTTCAGAGGTCAATCTTTTCCCCTTGTCATCTCGGTCTCCTTGTTTTCCGAGACAGCGGTGAAGAACGCTGTTGTCGAAAAGGGACTCTCATTGATTCTATCTGCTTGTTTTGTGTGATATAGAGCTCAAATAAACGCCATACGGATTACCTCCGCAACACGGTATGTACACTTTGTTATTAGTATGCCATTTTTATTCTGACACGACGCTACGTCACTGTCGAGCTATAGCAGTTCGTGGGAGCTACGCGATGTCGGTCCAACCTTTCTTTGCCGAGTGTCATGTCAGTATCGAGTTGCAATCGTAAAAGATCGGTCCAGAAGCGCTTACCAAAACGCGGTCTAACAGAGCGAACCCAGCACTTCGATCAAACGCGCGTGTCCGCTCCGAGTGTGAACAGGTATTTGCGTGGCTCTTGCTGACACTCTCGTAGTTAAAACATATCTTTTTTAACGTCGGGTCGCAGCTCGTGACTCGCAGCAACTAATACCGGCCGTGCCAGAAGCATGCTCGGGTCGTGTCGTGCAAAGAGCCGCAACGAGAACGAGCTCACTGTGGCCAACTACGCTTTGGCTTTCTCCGCCAAGGCTTTGCAAACGCGTTCAGGCCTAGGCTAATTCTGCCGGCATGCCGTATTTCCGCAGAACGGCGCTGCTCCTATGCCACAAGTGATGTCACGAAAACTTCCCACCATCCACCAGATGTGAATTTGAAATCGTTTAATTAAGTTTAAAATTAGTTCTCCTGTGTTTTACAGCGCGATATTGATATTTCCGAGGTGGTGCCTGTCCCTAGCCCATATTTATGCAGAAAGATCGGCGCTAAAATTTCGTTTCCGTACTCCTTTAAAGACCCAAGGCTAGCGGTCGTACCGCACTGACTAAATTGCTCATCCACAGCTGAGACACCAGACGCCCACTCAGGCGGCTGTAAAAATATACACACAATAATTTGCTTTGTTCTTGCTAAGTAGCCAAAGCAGCTAGCTGAAGCACGTTGGTGTGTGGAGTGGTACAAAGCTTCCATTTCATAGAAAAGGATGCGTTGACTTCTTTGGTGACTAAGACATACATCCGTACACCATCGTCCCCACGCAAGTGAAAATATAAACGAGTTTAGAAGAAATGATCGTGCCTTGTTTTTAAAGTGGTATTGGATCGGCCTCATTCCCAATTGACACAATCTAAGAAGACTGCTTTAGAGTAACCCTACTTCAGCCAACGCTTCAGTCATGCTGTTGCATAGAACCAGGGTGGCCCGTGGTAACAACGTCACACTTGTGGGAGGAGCCGCGCTGACGTAGACATGCCAGGGGGATGGGGAGCGTTTGCTCGGGCTGAACAGACACACCCCGGCTTGGGATCTCCTTGCAATTGTCTGTATTTTGTTCGTGTGTCTGGCAACAAACTTCACAGATTTCGCTCAGTGAGATGCCGGCTTGTGGCATCGCGATCACCTAGCTTGTTGCGGCTTGCGCTGTTGCACATGTCGTTGGAGGCGCCCAACGGGTACTTTGATATTAACCAAGGCAGTTCTCAAGACGCTCTTCAAACAACTCGTGTCTGGTTCCACGTCCTCTGTGTTGCATCCACCCATTAAAGACGCGTTTTTCTTTTAGCAGGAACCAGTTTGTCCTCTTGTGCATCTAACAGCGCTGCTGCCAAAATCGCGTATCGCCGTTTCAAGTACGCCTTCATTTTTCTTCTCTCGTCAGCACTTATTGAGATTTATTGTCGAGATTGCGAATCACTAAATGCGCCTGATAACACTGACACCCCTCTTGGCACTCCACCATTCGTGGGAACTCGTGGGAAATGCACATCCCTCCCCGAGAAGCATACCCCGTGCGAATACCCATTTAAGGAGTATTTACACGGGCGAGAGGTAGCTCGGTTTTCTCCCAGAGATGCGCATCGCATGGCTGCAACGTCACGCATTTGCGCGGAGCTGCGCTGACGTAGGCATCCCAGGGGGATGGGAAATTTTCACTCGGGTTGCACGAATAGTCCTCTACTTGGCCTGGGATCCCTTCGCCATCGGTGATTGCTTGTTCACCTTTCGGGAAACTTAAAAGATTTTGCTCAGCGGGATACCAGTGGTGGCACCGGAATTGCCTAAATTGTTGAGGCTTGCGCTGTTGCGCATGTCGACCGAGACACCCGAAAGAGTCTTCGATATTCATCAACACACTCATCGAGCCACTCCTCATACAACTGGCTTTGGATTCTACGTTCTCTGCGCACATCCGCCCATTCGACACGCATCTTTATTTAGCAGTAAGTAGTTCGCCGTCTTTTGCAACAGCGCTGCTAGGACAATCGCCTACCGCAGTTACTCTCGTCAGCGCGTATACAGAGCCTTGCTGTTAAGAACCTCACCGCTAATTGCGTCTGATAACACTGACATTCCTCTCGGCTCCGCGCCGTTCGTGTGGATGCTTCAGCCGGGAAGGGAGTCCCGCTGGTTTCGCCAATCACCTACATCACACACATCCCTCCCAGAGAATATTATCAAGTGTGAATACCCTTTACTATTACTGCGTTATATAGGAAAGATTGATATTACTACAGCTTTTTTTAAGATACAAAAAGTGACACTACAGAACAGACTAACTGCCTCCAACAGCTTCAGTGCTACGATAAGCAACCAAATGGCCGCACGCACAAGTCACTCGAGCGTGTTGTTGGAGCCTCGTCAGGCGGCGACAGTCAGCCTTTTGCGCCATCAGCCGAGATATAAAATCCGAATAAAGTCTTCACATTATTATTATTATTTTAGGCTTTTTTATGCTTCTATTCGTTTATGCCTAATGCATAATTTTGCTTTGTCACCAGAACTTTCATTGCTTGTGTTTGTTTGTTTTTTGTTACACTGATTTTTCACAAGTTTGACGATGCATTTACATACGGATTCGTATATATGTGTATGTGTGAGTGTGTGTGTCTGTGTCTAACTGTGGCGTAAGACACCCGTGACATCTTAGGGACATCTAAACATAGTTGAGCGTCAGTTCGCATTCGGGTTCCAAGTTGCTAAGTTTGTATACCTTAACTGTTATTTTAGGGTAGCATCGCACAAGCCTCACGCTGGCTTTGATGCGCCCGTTGTGCAACCTTGCTTTGAGCTAGACACAATAAAAGTATGTATGTATTCTTCTTCTTATTATTATACTTAATTATTCTTATTATTATTATTATCCAGACCGAATGGTTGTTCCTGGACACTCAAAAAATTTAATGATTGAATGATTAATATTATTATTAGTAGTAGTAGTAGCAGTAGTAGTAGTAGTAGTAGTAGTAACAGTAGCAGTAGTAGTAGTTGTAGTAGTAGTAGTAGTAGTAGTATAAACAGTCCTCACGTGACGCGAGGGGAGGAACTACAGTCGAGGCGGCTACTGAGAAGCGACGAGACGGCGAATCTAATCGCACCCATAGTTCGCTCTTTCCGAGTGCCCGCTGGCAACACCATATTTTCCGAAAAAAATATCAATCATTCAGTTACTCAATCAACCGATCAGACAGATGTGGATTACTCTTGCCGAAATGATTGATAATAGACCATTTGCAAAACGTGCTGGGCCGTACGCATCGCCAAAAGAAATTCAGGAAACTGGCTGTCTAGAATCACCTGTAACAGGCGATTGAGAAGGCGCAAAAGAGGGAACAACACCCCCCATGTTACCATGGCCACAATGCCACATTGCTGAATTTACTACGTCACCTAGCGTAGACCAAGGCGGGTACGTATCATACACGAGTGCTGCGTCAGCACTCGGTTCGAACTTATGTCCTCACTGATTGAACACGATCCCCAGCCGAATGCAGACGCGGGGTTCGTGCCCACTGAGTGCCTCGCGATGAATTCCGGTATCTGACGTGGACAACTCTGCACTATGGCCTTGATATTTATGAACAATAGGACTACGACGCCCTACCGCTTCCTCGCTCCCTTCAGTGTCACGTGGTAAATTCTGCGGTAGCGAGCTGGAGAATGTAGCAAGTTCTCGTAAATTGTCACCCGTTTCATTTGCTGTATTTTGTGAGTCTTGCAAAAGGTTCATTGCAGTACACCGGGAACCTGTCGAAATGACTGTAATACGTACGTTCTACAGGCTGTTCGAAATGCAAAACCAAAATTCGGAAAGGGGTTAGCGTGCACGTCAGATGCATCAGCCAAGATGGAATTGAAATTAAGAGAAAGAGTCAGTATTTAAGTGGACTTCAATTCCGACGACGCATAACGGACGACTTTTGGAGGCGCTGGGAGCGTGAATGCAGGCTTATACTTAAGTCTGCGAGCCACGTAAAGCAATATTATACGTCAGGTCTAAATCCAGAAGATGCCATTTTGCATAGAAGCAACACACCGAGCCTTTTTTGGCAACTGTGAAGAGTGTCGCGGGCTCACAAAGAAATGGAAACAGACGGTGACAAACCATCAAATTGAAGCTTGATAATGTGGATGCTTGGGCTAGTTGGTAATTCATGCTTTCTCTGTTTCTCTTCTGTGTCAAATTGAAACAGAAGAGAAACGGTCTCATTACTGACCGACAGATTCAACGGCTATATCCACTGGAAGTTAGCGCTTGAATAGGTTTGGGGTGAGAATATGTAGAAACTACTAAGCCAAAACCAAACCCGTCAAGTTCAAGCGAATACGAAGATGATGGCGGTCCTGCGCTCGTGCACGTAGAGTGTGGGGCCCGTTTCATTGATTTCGTGGCTCTTTCCTATCCCCAACCAAATAGACGTTGGGTATAAAGCACCTCTAGTCTTTTGTAAAGAGCTGCTGTTCCTGGTCTTAAATTCAACGAGGCTATTTGGACCTCTTACCGTGTGTTGAGGCAGTCTCCGTCGGGAACCTGGCATTCAATGATCATGTCTTCGATTTGGTGGCCCAGCCGCTCTGCCCGACTCAGATTGCGGCGCTGTTCAGCGGAGATCCACGTCTTTAGCTTGTGAGTCGTTACCAAGTCTTCTTCGGACATCTGCAACTCGTACACAAGAGAAGAAAACCCATGAAGGAAGGCGGCGACATCGGCGACCATGTAAAGGCCACTAAACTTTGTTTCAGTTCCATTCTGCGAACGAAATCAATTCACAGCGTACGCTACAGGGCAATGGGACCCATCAAGCAGCGTCAAAAGCTCAAGTCACTGGTATTTTCTATTCATCATTAGTGTAACGATAATAGAACACGTACGGAAACATGACGAGCAACATGATGGCGTGCTTTTTGACGCTGTCTCATTGATCGCATTAGCCCGTACCGTTGGCTGCGCATGCCCTCAAGGTGAAACGAAGTATAGGAGGTACTCAGTGGACGGCATTTTTCGTGCCGATTTTTGAATGCCCTGTTTGAAGCCCAAGCTTAGAACAAGCTTACAATAAAAGGCTGCTAAGACAGGCAATACTGATGTTATAGAATGCACGATGCAAAATAAGTGTCACTACTGCGATAGGCTCAGTGATCACAAAGTTCTTCACATCGACTCAGATCACTCCCTGTTCTTATGGAGCATTTCATTTCCAAAATCGATCACGACAATAGCAAGGCAGACTACGCATCAATTAACCGTGAGTTGACAATTTTCTTCGACCATTTCATTTCTAATTCTTATTGTAGACCCGTAGAAGAAAACTGGGTGTTATTCGGGGCTAAAATTAAAAATGTTGCTCACATGTTTCTTCCAACCATTTTATACGTCCTTATGCAACAAACCCATGGTTTATAAAATCTGTGCTTTCATGAGATAACAGAAAGGGAAACCAAACCTTTTCGAAAGAGCGAAACGTACGAACACTCTCCTCTCTTGGGATGCTTATAATTCTGCCCTGAAGGTCTAAACCAGTAATCTCAGACTACCTAAAAAAACGTTTTCTTTTTTGTTTTTTTTCTCCTGACTTTTCCAACATACGTCGTAGTAACCCAACGCAGTTTTGAAACTTGATCTCGCCCAAAAGTGCCAACCCGGCCTATCATCCATTTACAGACGCTAATGGTAACCTGGTAACCCTATATTGGAGAGCGACTGCGCTAAAGTTCTTAACAATTACATTTCTTCAGTTTTTACGAACTAGTGTTTGGACAGCGTTCCCATCCTTTCCGACAAACCCAATGTGCCCATGCTTTCTTTCATTGTCAACTCTGCCGGAATAAAGGAATCTCATTGATGAACTGAAACGTACATCATCTGCTGGCTGATAACATCAAGTTTAAAATCTTAAAAATACTAGAATAATTTCTATTGAGTTTTTCAAACTGATCTTTACAGGATCACTATCAGAATGCCGCCTTTTCACCGACTGGAAGGTAAGCGGGGTCATCCCAGTTTTTAAGTAGTCTAGTCACTCTTCTGTGTCTAATTATCGGCCAGTATTTTTAACCTCCAGCTAGAGCATACACTTTACTCCCACAGTATGACTCACCTAACAATTGATTATTTTTTTCTTTAAGTGGCAGCACGGATTTCAAAAGGGACTTTCCTGCAAGACTCAACTTTGTAATTTTATTAATGACCTGCACATTAACCTTCAATGTTATACTTAGACTGACACCGTTTATCTTGATTTCTCAAAAAGATTTGACAGTGTCCTTCATCAACGCCTACACTCTAAGTTGTCATACTTTCGTCCCACTCACATATGCATGGATACGTGACTTTTTCTCGTCCCGCGTGCAGGTAACGTCCATTAATGACAAAGGGTCTTCCATACAAAACGTGTATTCTGGTATTCCGCAGGTCGTCTATTGTTTTTAATATATATTAATGACCGTCCTAGCACTGTTTCTTCTAAAATACGTCTTTTTGCAGGTGGCAGCGTCGTCTATAACGGAGTAACGAGTGTACAAGATAACAACCAACTTCAAATGACTTAATTAAAATTGACAAAAGGTGCAATGACTGGTTGATGTTGCTAAACAAACCTTAATGCAAACTAATTCGCTTCACCGGGAAAAACCACTGTACTGTCCTACCTGAACTCCTACCTCGACTCCCATTTAATTGAGCCTGTTACGATGTATAAATATCTTGGTGTAAAACTAACACCAGACCTCTCCTTAAAATAATAACATTGAAGCCATCACTGCTGACTCATCAAAAATCTTGGACTAATAAGTCGTAACCTACAATCTGCACCTCCCCTTGTCCGCAAGCAGGCGCACGATACGTACGTCAGACCTAAATTAGAATCTGCCGCTACCATCTGGAATCGCCATAAAATGTACCTAATTAACAATCTCATAGCAGTTCAGAAATTGGCTGCACGTTTCATCTTGTCCGACTTATGATCTTTTATTCAGTGTTTCCGCCTTGAAAAGCAACTAACCATGTGTTCTTCGCAGCTTCACAGAAAAGAATCTCAGCTCTGCCTTCTTCGTGAAATATACGACAATATTCCAGACATCAAAAATGAATTGCTGTCGGCTCCCGACCGAACTTCTTCGCGCTTTAACAACACATGTGCAATGAAACGTATTTTATGCTCTACGAACGCATTTAATCGATCAGTTTTTGTTCCTCAGGCTATCAGCGACTGGAACAACCTCTCATCATTCATTGTCAATACTCTAGACCCGAGTCATTTTCTATTTTGATCGCACGATTTCTGTAATTCTGAGCTGTGATGAGCTTGTCAAGTGTGTTAAGTTTTTTAATTTCCTTTTGTGTTTTTTATGTATTTGTGTTTCTTTATTGCATAAATCTTAAATACCCCACCCCCCTTTTTGTAATGCCTTTCAAGGAGCCCTTAAGGTGTAAATAAAGGAAATAAATGAAAATCAGGCCTTTAGCAAGTGTTCAACACTCGCGCACACAGGTATGGCGGCCAGTGAATACTCATAATAGGAGCTCTGCACACGCGCCAGATTACAGCCCCCTTTCTAATCTCTTGTATCAATGAGATACCAAGCCAAGGAAACGGGCGCTGACGAGCCTGTGTAAAAGACAATGCTGAGGAGAAGGACGCAATGAAATCTAAAATGGCAATGACCTGGCCTGCTCTGGCAATGATAAAGTAAAGTAAACGGAATAAGAGGAAACAAGAACTGAAGGCTGGTGATGACGGCACCCACGCACAGCTGCTGCAAAGCGTCTATAGACAATAAACCTTTTGCAAAACGTACAGTGTCACAACGGCAGGGAATTTTGGGAACCCTCGGTACAGATCACGCGCTTTCTAGTTGCACCTCCGCGACCCCGCGTGAGTCGCGGCAGCTACCGCCAGCAGCCGTCGCAGCCATCCGCCATCCGCCATCCCGCTTATCCGCCAGAACGTCGTACCTCAATGGCGGCGTGCCATATCTGTGGCAACGTAAACGTATCGCCACAGGTAAAGCTATTCAGTTATTTGAATACGTTATTCATCGTAACTTAGCTTCACGTATTGCAGTGTCACCGAATCCACACGCAACCGTGGCACGGTTCGACTGGGTTCGACAAATCGCTGGTGCAGCAGACGACGGAGCCAGTACGAAGGAGAGGGATGAGAAAAGGGCAGCCTCGCAACGCAATACCCTCGTTCCCATTTTTGTGCGCTCTTCCGCTCGTCGCTTGTCCGACTCGCCTCTCGGCTGCTCGAACGCTGTTGCCTTGGTAACCTGCGTCTGCACTCCTATGCCAAGTGGTAGAGGGAGGAAAGACGAAAGGAGGGGCGTACCGAGGATTTACATAATTCGTCACGCGGCGCGCGCGGGCTTCTGGGATTTTTGCAAAGGGTCTACTCGCGACTCCAGCAAAACGGACGCCACCAAGCGGGGAAACCGGGAACCAGCCGGTCCAGGTCGCTCCGCGCCCCTCCGCGTCTCTGGTGGCTTTCGCAGAGACGTGTTGTCGGCGCGGTGGCGAACAATGTAATTTGACGAAGGTCCGAATATTTCTTAAGTTCGCCTGAGTGGTCATTAGTGTGGTGAAGCCTCAGTAGATTGTTTTCTTCTATTACGTGCTTGAAAGCCCGTTTAGTCGACAACACACGTTCGCGTGCTTTCGATTTCTTGGATGGGGAGGAATCGCGGAAAAACGTTTTGATTTCTTGTCTGTCTCGAATCACATTCAAAGTTACGACTACTTGGTAACTGATAAGTGGTTTCTTTATAAGGATGTAGGACAGTGGACTGAGGACGACAGACGAGGCATTTCACTGGAGGGAACACGAATGTTGCAGTAAAGTGAATGGGAAGGTTCGATAGCTGCTTTTCTTGAGTTTGGTTATGTTTGGTTAGCTTCAAGTTTGAGCCACCCACGCCGGTCGGTGCGTTGGCTATTCATCTTGGCTGCTTTTCGCCGAAAAAGCCTCTGGGCCACACTGAAGGAGTTGGGCTGATTTCGCAATTACTTGATTCAGGAAAACCTGCTCGCTGCAAATAATGAACAAGGGAAATTATCTGTTTTCAAAAGGTGGTGGACGAGTCTAGATGCTGTCACGGCATTTTGACCTATCGCGCCTCCATTTATATTACGAGGACGTCGAAGCCAGCAACAGTATAAGTCTACATTGGCCAGGCTGACCGGCCAAAAAAAGAAAATATACTCATTTTCTCCGTTCAGGATTCGAAGCAAAGTTCAGTGCAGAAAGGTTCTGCGTGAATCTTCGATGAAGACGCTTCAGTTTGTCTCCGTGCTGCCGGCTATAGAACCATTTGGCTAAGTTTAAGTAGTATCTCTCTGTCTGTCAAATATACTTTTATTCAGCAGCTCACCTAATAGCTAGTCAACTAAGCTCATATTTCAACCCGAAGAATATACTAATATCGATTTAGTGGGACATAGTACGTAATATAATACATAACACGCTCGTCAAAATGACTTCTCGATTGCTACTAAAACCTGAATTAAAATACGAGTATCAGCTGCTTAGTGGGGCGCCGGCGGGTTAACATGGTCCTTGGCTCCAGAAGCGCTTGCTCAATTTTCGTAATTTTCGTGCAGCCTGTGTTGTTGACCGAGCAGACGACTGGAGCTGTTTCTTAAACGCGGATACGCGCAAA